TGATCCAATGCAGCCCACATCCCTCGCATTCGACAATGTCCTTGACCAGCGTGAGCGACACGATGTGGTGCGTGGTAACCAGCCACGTGGAATATGAAGCATGCCGACATTTTGCAGCACTGCGTATTGATCAAGGGATTTATACGGGCGTAGACGGACGTACAGGGTCGCGCGGCACTCGGGGGCGTGAAGGAGGGAAAGCGTCGACGATCGGCATGCCCCTCTCGTCTCCGAACGTGGATGTGGCGATCGCAATCCCTTCGGAGCACCGTGACACGATGGACGCACACAACCCAAATCAACGGTTGAGAAGCGAGGTCGGGGACGGCGGTCGCAGCTTCAGCTGTTGGACGTTGTTGTGCTATGTGCGAGTTGTGACAGCCACTTGAGTTGACACGACTGATGGAGTTTTTACCGAGATGCGAGGTGAAGGTCATATTTGTCGAGCACGTCAAGATGAACGTCCCTTTGGACCTGGCATTTTCGATGCACGAGTTTGTGCATGTGCTACACAGTGTGGCAGGACAACCAGGTCACGTGCTCGAGCTGAAAATGCGAAAGGGAGACAAAGTTTGGCTTGGCGACGTCGCGGTTGGTGCAGTCGACCAGCCGAGTGTGCGCTGGGCCATGCGATCCAAGGGGACAGCAGTCGCGATGTCGATCGTGAAGTCGATGGAAGATGCTCAAGGGATGTGTGAAGATGTCGGTGGATTGTTTTTCCCTTGGAATCAAACTCATGTACGACTGCCGAATCGTACCAAGCCCTTGCGACATCCGACCTGTATACTGGGACGACTCGGAGCCGTCCGGCACCAGAATCGCACGACGTCGCCACTGGCCATCTCTGCCGAGGCACATCCACGCGATCCATTCGGTTTCCGTGGCGGAGGCTCCTGGTTTATCCCATTCCGCTTCTTGGCGTAGTGGAGCAGGCTGGCACCGACATCGCCAAGTTCTGGGTCGTCGTCGTCTGCGGACTACGCGCTACGTGGCATGGACCCTTTCAACTGCAGGTCACTTGTGATCTATCTCCGACATGCCACAGTGCACGCCCCGGCGGAGGATTTCGCCTTGTGTAGTTCTCCAAATGTGAGTAAATAGTTTCGTTGGATGCGATGGGTGTGGCCTTTTGCCCACGACGACCATCGGAGGACCATTCCAGCAGCTCGTTCCCGCCACCCACAAGGAGTGCCGAAGTCGCAAGTACATCCACGCCTCGCCTGGCACGCAGCACGATCTTGTGGTCGACCTCACTCTTGCCGAAGCGAATATGAAAGGGCATTCAACGACACGAGGGGCGAAGATGGGTGCGCTCTCGCCTGGTGGCGCAGACGGTCGGTCTTCCTGGCGGTTGAGGCTGCGCTTTCCTTGCCAACTTCGCATGCATGTCGACACGATTTTCCATTCTTCAGACATGCCCGCCGCCACAACTGGTATGTTTTAGAGCAGCACCAGGCAGCCCACACTGGATCCTTATCGGGTTACAACGTGCCGGTAGTCAAGAAATGCACCAGCATTCGCTCCATCATGTCTATCTTGGGGCTTGGACCTTGCGTAACGCTGTACCCGAGCAAGCACCGTCCAAACACGTGCGCTACCGAGAGAGCCATCAAGAACAAGGGGATGGCGGTCGACATACCAATCTTGGACGTGTTGAGAAGATTTCGTGGCGTGTGCAGAAGCACTTCGCGCAGGAACGAGCTCACATAGATGAACGTGTTGAAGTGCACCGTCGCAAGGCCGTCAACCGTCACGGACGCGGTCGTGTCCGCCGACAAGCTCGCCTCGGGCACGACGCTTTCACGCAAACTTTGCAACCAGTGGACAAGAAGCGCCGCCATGGACTGTGGTCTACACACGCCAGTGAACTCCACCACACACACACACGCAGCCAAGAGTTGATGTCAAGAATGGCCCCATGCAATGGCTAGCGTCTACCCAAATCTCCCCACTTGCACCAAACAACAAACGTACCGATGGACAGGAAATGGCGCGCCCGTGTCTAGAGCTTCCCGCAACACCGCTGCCTCCGACTACGTTCATGTGAGATGAAAATGTAAATTCTCGGAGCCACGCATGCCATTCTGTTCGACTCCAACCAAGCACACGTCAGACATCCGTTCACGGCACATGCAAGTCGCCGCCTCTTCGTCCACACAACCGATCCAAGTTGGCCTGACGTCCCTAACTCGTACAATGGGCCCTAGCGACGAACCTGATCGGTGTCCAAGAAAATGTTGGGGGCGTCGAGACCATGCGTGTACAATGCGTCGACCATGCGCCAGAGTTCCTTGGGGATCTTCTGGCTTACAGCAGCTTCCCGCTTGATCGATTTTACGCTTCGTACGGGTTCGACTTGCACGACGAGCTGTTCGAGCGAGCATCCAAAGCACGACCTATGCGACGACGCCAACTGAGCAAGATGAAAGACGTCGCACGGTTCTGTACGGCAAAAAGTCGCCCGACACCACAAGGAAGTGATCGGCGCCGTTGGCCACACGAAGGATCAGCGTGTCGTCGAGGGTGTCGCGGCCGCTCGAAAGCGCATGCACGGCATCAAGCATGACGTGAACGGTCACCTTGAGTTCGACCTTTTCTTTCGGCGGAATCATGCCATACGTGGGCAAGACCGTGAGCCAACTCTGCGCGCGACTCGATCCATCACAACCCAGCCCTCACGATGGCGTATCGATGCTTGTGTACCTTTGACACGGCCGACTCTTGCAGCTTGGGCGCCAGTTGAAAATGCGCGACCACAAGGCCCGTGTTCTCAATCAAAAACGTTTTCGTTTGCGGCACGAGGTACGTCACCGCGTCAAAATGGAGCAAGTTGTGGTCCGAGATAGAAATCTACCAACGTCACATCCACCCCATCGATTCACGGGCAGCCAAGGCACCACCATCGATTCCCACATCAACCAATGCATGCGAGGCAGCTGAGTGCATGCCCAAAAGCAAGCAGCAACCTCCCGCAAGCAGCTTCGAAGGCATTCAAGCGACCGACTCACCTTTGGCTTGTTGTCCGATTCCCACTTGTCCAGCTCGCGCGAAATCTCGCGCTGGACAGCGTCCTTCTTCTCGTCCACTTCGTACTTGACCTACACATGCATCCCGGTCGGGTCACTTGCGGTCTCGCCACCCATCTCAACATTTTTCCATCAAGCCAAGCGCAGCCCCAGGCCACGTTATCTGCAAACGAGCCATGCTTACCTTGACGGTGAATAATGCTGCCACAGGCTTGTGATCCGACATGTCCAGTTCCATCGCCGCGCCATAGTGCTTGAGCGCGACCGTGTCGGCCTTGGCCTTCCACAAGATGCGATCGCACCTGGGATGAAAAATCGGGGTCAAGTTGCAAATCGCGAACACGCCATGGCTACGTACCATGCCGGCGCGCGGATTTTCTTCTCGGGCCGCCGGTCGTAGAATGACGTGCCTGCTTGAAACTTGTACGTGGGCGGGAATCGGATCGGACCTTCTTCAAATCCATGAAACACATTGCCCTTTTCGCGCTCTTGGTTGAGCTACACAGCCCAGACAGACACACAGGTCGTTCAGACGATGCCACTCATGTTACACGCCCTCCACGACTTGCCGGGCCACGTGGCAATATTTCCGTGGCGCCGACGACGTCACCATGAAGCCATGGCACGGGGAATACGGAGAGGACAACGACCCGCCATCCAATTCAATCGACCGGGCTCCCACCTGATCTCTCGCGAGCAGAACGTCGAGGTTTTGCTTCTCCACGTGGGCAAAGCAGTCATCGACCGTGAAATTCGCATCTTCCACGAGGCGGTAGTTCAGATCGCCCAGCCAAAAGATAAAGTCGTGCATATGAATTGTCAGAGCGTGATCCGCCGCCTCCTGTGACCTTTATGAAGAAAAAGACGCCACCGCCGTGAGGCCATGCGAGAACGAGCCGCGACGCGTACCCCATCGGGTTTAGTTCGTCGTAGATCGAGTCGCGAAACTCAATCTTGGACAAAATGTTGGCAAAGTCAGCGTTCCGCCCCGCCACGTTGTGTGTGTGCGCAGCTAAGTGAGAGCAGACGAAGCACATCGTGCTGTCGTAGAGCGTCATGCGAACGGCGACGCCCCCTTTGTTGCCCTAGAGACCGGCCGCGTCGTCAAAACTCGCAGGGGAAAGAAGACACATGCAAACTTACCATCATCCCCATGATGCCGACGCCCGCCGTCGATCCCACGACGTCTGTCACGAACGGGAGGTGGTCGCGCTTGACGAACACGAGCAGCAGAATTCCGACGAGATGCTTGTGCAACACGACTTCGTACGCGTCGTCCGACATGTGCGAATTTAGCGCTGCAAGGATGCTCTCTTCCCACTGCGCGCTGCGCGGCCCCGACGTGTTGTTGACAACGACGTTGACGGCGTTGAGATCGACAATCTCTTGAAAACCAACCGCGACAATGTCCGGCGACAGATGATCGTTGTCGTGTTTCGGGCGCAGCCAGTACAGTAGTTTGGCCGCCTCTGCGATTGACACAGGTTTCTTTGCGTTTACGTTGAACGTACCGGCCCAGAGCACCATATCTTTGATCTCGGTGAACTCGGACGCGCGCAGATACAGCTTTTGTGCCATGCAGTCTTCGCGGATCTGACTGAGCACTGCCGGGTGGTAGTACCTGACGTTCTGTTGACTGGCTTGCGTCGACGATGGAGCTGGTGGGGCCAGTCCGACGGACGAGAGGGACGATGGGCGCGACGCAAACTCCATCGGCACAGCAAGCGGTGGAAGGGGGCGTCTGGCGAACGAAGTGTGGATCGACGCAAGATCGTTTCCGAATGGATTTGGATGTTGCATTAATAATACTCATTGCGTGCAAAATATATATATTGATTTTAGAATGCAATGCTGGTATTTATATAAATATTCACACCGCCGACGAACCAATGGCATCGCGCGGCGTGACTTGGAACGATGGCGACGGTGCCTGCGACGCAAGACGACCTCGGCGACGTTTACGAACCCGCCGAAGACACGTACTTGTTCCTGGATGCGCTGCAGGACGAGAAAGACTTCCTTGTGGCCTTGCACCCACGCATCATGCTCGAGCTGGGACCAGGGTCCGGCGTTGTTGGGGTCTTTGCAACCAACCAACTCGCGGCGGCAGGGATCGACGACATCGTTCTCTTCGCCGTCGACATTAACGAGCAAGCTACTGCGTGCACCAAGAATACCGCTTCGCTCAATGGTGTGTCTCGCATCGAGATCCTTCGCATGGACTTGCTAACCCAAGTGCGGTTGCGCCAGCAAGTCGACGTCTTGCTGTTCAATCCACCGTACGTTCCCACTCCGTCCGACGAAGTTGGTTCCATGTATGTGCTCCATGCTTTCCAAACATTGACTTGCCATTCTAACGAGCCCTTTAACTCATGCAGCGGCATCGAAGCGGCGTGGGCCGGTGGAAAACACGGCCGTGAAGTCATCGACCGTGTGCTGCCACTCGTCCATGTTCGTAGGCTCAACCGTCGTCTTGCATGGAGTTATTCGCGTGGTAGGACGTGCTCACTCCGAGGGGGGTGTTTTACATGGTCGTTGTCGCTGAAAACAAGCCCAACGACATCGCGCGCATCATGCTGTCGCAAGGATTTCACATGGAGGTTCGTCGCGTCCCTCCGATATGAACTTGTGACGGTCTCACGGGCGCCTCGAGTAGACGATTCGGTCCCGAAAAGCGTTCAACGAGAGCCTATCCATCGTTAAGTTTACGCGGACGCCAGCGCAATGAACTCCTCACGTCGACGCACCACCCGACCAACCTTCCTTGTCGATGCTGCCCCCTGTACCCTCGCGTATTCGTCACAATTCAATCACGTTCCTAACGATGGCAAGGCGGGCACGTCGCAGGTGACGACTGCGCTTGGCCCAGCGACGCTTGAAAGGGGGCGATTGCGCTACACAGCCCCTTCATTCTCCTCACCTCTCATCGGACGCGTGTTTTCGTTCGCTCCTGTGCGCCGCCGCAAATTCGACTACATCTCTGTCCTTCGCCACGGCAATGTGTGAAGCGATGGAAGTTGGATTCACTTGGACGCCTCCTCCTTGCCGGAGGCATGGGCAGTGTAAGGCCGACCACTTTCAAGAGGCGTTGTGCTTGCCGCCGGCCAACGCGGAAGCAACACGGAGTCCCTCTTGACAATAGTTCAAACAACATGGATTCCGTGGAAAGGCTCCGCGGAGGGCGATAAAATGGTTGCGGCGACAGCCCGCTGTCGCCGCAACCTCGGACCTCCCTTCACCAACCGCATCATGCCCCGGAACGCTGTTGAACCAACCTGCTCCAGCTTGGATCGTGAGGGTCCCAGAGTTGTTTGGCTGAGGCCGTTGTGTGGTCGAAACAATTCGTTCGCTGGTGGCTTTCCGAGTGGACTGGAATGACCAAGTGCCCGTACGCTCACCAACCGCTACGTCCCTCGTGGCGAAACCCGCTTGGATGTCGGCTCGATCAACATATTGTCGCACGTCAAAGTGTCATCGTCATGTTGGATGCCTACGAGGTCGTGGGAAAACGGAGGGACTCCACGTGTTTGAAGGCCAGGAGGACTTCGTCCGTGTGTAAAGAGCAGATGATGGGGGCCCGCTTGTTTTCGACGGGAAATCGGCTGGGAGAAACAACGTCCAGGGTGTCTCTACGCTGTCATGGGATCCTTTGAAGGCAAAGCACGACCTGCCGAGCGAGACTGTAGCGGTCGCTCCAACCATATGCACAACTCGCCTGAAATTCGGAGGTTGCTCGATATTTGCACATGAATCGATCCAAGCACTCGTGGCGAACGTGCATTTGACTTGAAATGGGTTGATCCTCGAGTCGACGGTGTCCAGGGTAGCATAGGATGGACGATGTAGCACATGACGAGTGTGATGTGGGTCGTGACCTGCTGCGGCCCAAAATGTGCGTGCGCGCCGTCCAATGTGGTCAATTCAAGACCGAGGTCGCCCCGCAAATATGCCACGAGAGCCAAGCCGCGCTCGCCTACTCATCTCCGTCGCACACTAACAATGGAATGCTCGTCTTGGCGAGGTCATACTGGCCACGGTATCGCTGCAGTGCCATCAAGATATTCAACGACGTGATGGTGTGCCAGTGCCAAACAAAAGGAACATGCCGTCGTGGACGGCCGTCGCTATCGCCTCCGCTTCGACGAACTGGCCAGTGTAAGATATCGAAAAAGCAAGTACCGTTGGAATCATGAGGATGCGGGGGTGGTTTGGACCACAAACGAGGGCTATCTCGTCGCGCGCGAGCCCGAGGAAGTGCACCGACTTGGGGTGGTTGTCGAGAGAGTAGTACAGCGAATCAACCAAGTCATGCATGTTGGCTTTGACCTACGGCCATCTTCGCCGCTTGCAGAAATGGTATGCCAGGCTCTTCCACAAACCGCAGAGCATTTCCAACGTGTTTCTTGGCATCGATTTGTGTAACATGCTTTAAGTTCAACCAACGCTTCGTTCACTAGCGTCGCCCATGCCCCATGTGGCACACACGCCTTATGACTCCAAGATGCATGGAAGCATCCCAGCTAACCGAAAACGTCGGGAAAAGCACGGAAGATTCCATTCGCAAGGTCATACGGGATCGCCGAATGCGCCCAGGGTCACCGTCGCATACGCCATGACCTGGAGCCAGAGTACCCTATCGGCCGGGAGCATCACTTCTTCGACCTGAGCGACGACGCGCTCGTGTTTTTGTGGTGAGGTGACGGCAGCGACCACTCCAGCTATGCCAGCCGCGCCATCAATTCAAACCAACGCTCCCCGTGTTGGGATGCTGTGCATGTACGCATCCCTGTGCGTCGACTTGGTCGATTATTTCAAACGCAAAGAAACGAATCCTATGCCAGGATCGACAAGTCTGTGCAACGCAAACGATGAGAAAACGTTCCCAATCAGTTAAGCATGTATCGCTGCATGAGGATAGAGTCATGGCTTGGCATAGATCATGCGCTCTTTCGTCGCTCGAACAACCCAGCCATCGCATTTGGGCAAGACGAACGAAAGCGGCGACATGGTTATCGCGCACCGTTCTCTCTTCCATTTCGACTGTCCACTCATCGACAGCGCCATCTCCACTCGAATCACGCAGTCGGCCAACGCATCCATCGTACTTTTCCACCCCTACTTCACCCTTCGCAAGTCGACGGAGGTGTCGTCTCCGTTGTCGCAAAGGATTGTGAACACGCGCGATGGGACCGAAAGAATGTAGCACGAGACAAGGTACCGTCGATCTGGGAGGCACTTGGAGCGGCTCGTCGTGGAGATGCCGCAGACGCTTCGGATTTGCCGTGCATCGTCCTCGTGGATCTTTCCGAAGCGACATGTCGTTGCCCAAGTGCAACATCCCGTCGACAAAACCTGTCTGCGTCAACACGTCCACGCATCCACGTAACTTGGGGAATTTTCCATAAAATTCGCTCGTATTTGTGTGTTTTTCGTCGAAATGGGCCTGATTTTTCTCTATTTAGGTTGTAAGAAGGGCAATTTTCCCACTCGTCCATGATTCAAACGGATGATCGGACTCCGAAGGAAGCCAGCAACGATCTGCACGCGAGATATACCGACCACTCCGACTTGAGCGAGATCTTCTGCCATGGCGACGACCGGTGCCGCGGCTCCTGCGACGGCGATGGATGATTTGACATGCGCTGTGTGCCTGGAGCCGTTTGCGTCTCCCGTCACGCTCTATTGTGGCCACACATTTGATCGGTACGTGGCATGTGGAGTTCGTCGACGATTTCAATGTCAGTTTCGTAGCGAGTGCTTAGTCGACCTCGTGGACAAGCCGTGTCCGATGTGTCGACAAGGCACGATTCGCCAGGACGTCGTGGTGCAGCCAAAGAATCAAGTCATGTACCGCCTCGTGCTGTCGGCCTGTGTCACATCGTCAGATGCGATTTTGCAACGTGGAAGCGGTCATGAACATGCGAGATTGACTCGGCTCGCTACATACGTCCGCCCCAAATCACCCTCATCGGTGTCATCCATAGCGCGGCGTACAGTGTCCGTACACTGGGGGAGGCTTGTCCTGGTCTTTCACTCGCTGTCGTTCCCGTGGAGCGCAATGTACGGCCCCGCTGGCCTTGCCGACGACGACGAGCCTGAGAGCATTCCGTGCTGCTCGCAGTTTTGCAGTTGGTCCATTGCGTTTACGTTAATCGCGTCGTACGCTCTCTCGATGGTACGTCTCGCACGCCTCTCTCTATTTAGTGCTCATGGTGTTCCAGATCCTGTCCCAGGGCCTACAATCGTAGTCGAGAGCCAACCGTTTTTGTATTTATGAACGTCGCGTGGATTTCATGGGCATCCGGCGCCACTAGCTGCTCACAGCACCTACAGGACATGGCCAAATACCACAACATGGCTGCTCCGAACGGCAATTGCCATACACAGCTGCATGCATGCCTCGCCTGCGCTTCAGGGGGGTCGCGACGCTGCGTGTCGCATTGGTGAGGGGGAAGTAGCTAATGACTGGCGAAGTGCTGCGGCAACAACCCGAACGCTCGCTTGTATTTGGCTATGCGGACACAAATGTATTTTACTGGCCGCGACTTGCTCAATGCCGCGGACACTCTCCAAATGCTCTCGGTTGGTGCCGACACAAGCTGTCAGGGCAGTTCCGACGCACTTACGTAGATGCTAGCCATTGCACATCGTTGGTCCAAGCCACCGTGCCGACCATGTCTCCTTCGTTGCTAGTCTACTCCGCAAATGTGACAGTCCTCCGTCCATTCCAAATTTATTTCACCGCAAGTCTTACGCCGCTCGCTGGGCGACTAACTTACTCTGCACGTTTGCTTCGAGCCGGCGAATGTCGTCCATGGTCAAGCCGTTCCACTTGTGCGACAGGCATTGCGCCTACATCCAAGCACAAATGAACACAGACCAGTCGAGCAAGACGTCGTACCTGACGCAAACTCGAGTGAAACAGGCGGCGCTGGCGGTCGCGGATGGCGTTTTCAACACGGCCTTGAAATCCCCAGTAGTCGAAGTTGACGCGAACAACCTTGTAACACGTCATGACGGGGGTCAACTTGCGTTCCCAGCCGGCTTGGAGCGGCCCACGACCAGTTTTCGGACATGTGTACGTCGAAGGGTCGAATTCAAGCGCTTGTGGCGTGGGGGCTTCGTTGGGCAAGTGTGAGTCGATACGGATGCTAGAAAAGTCACAGCGTGAGGTCAGTCAATTGACATAGCACGTACTATTCGACGGTGCGCTGCCGAAGTTCCGCGGGAGACAAGCAAACGGCATTGTCTAGAAATGATGCCATCAGTGCATTTCATGTAGAACGAGGAGCAGAACCTTCATCTCCAGCACCAGCAGCGTGGACTGTTTCAATCGAAATGTAAAACTTTTGCTTTGCCAAATACCCGTTCGTGATGACAGTAAGGCAGTGGGGGTAAGCGTTCCACGCTTCTTCAATGAGGACCATGCTTTCTTCGGGACAACTACAGCAAGTCATTCAATCCATGATCATGTCGGCATTGCAGATGAGGCGGCACAGGAAAAGCACTTACATCGCACTGACATACGATGGGATGTGCGACTTGACGTGGTAGTGTTTGAGTGTGTACTGACCCTTGTTGCGAGGAATCTTCACAAGCGAGAGGGGCGAGATGTCCCCGAGCTGGCCATTCGAGTTGTCGTACGGTTCATTCTTGAGGATCTCAACACCCTCGCCATTCTTGGTGTTCTTCTCGCTCGCATCGAGCACCATGTACAGCTGCGCGACCTGGAACTCATCCACGGTCATGTGCAAAGGCACGCGGAACTCATGGATCAACATGGCGCTGACCGGTGTCGGTGTCGACGAGAATTACCGAATGCCATGACGTATCGAAGACGGGAATTTTCTCTCTTAAGTACGAATTTGTTCTATCCCACTCCGTGCTCTGTTAGGTGCGTTTGTCCAATATTTATATTTCGTGTGCAACCGTATCCATGCTATCAAGAGAAATTCCGTAAGACACATTGTTGTGCTGCATGCTTGATGGGGTTGAAGATACGTCGGATGTGGCGAACTATCATTTCTTTTCGACGACCCGTCGGTACGTAAGAGTATTAGACTGGACACCTCGTGTGATGACGTGGTCGTGGAGGAGTGCAATATACAATTTTGCACAGTAATGTGTATGGAGGTTGTGTCAATTTCGTACTTAATAAAAATATATCTACTATGTACGATTTCAAGTTCTGTTGAGCAGACGAAACTTCAAATGTCAAAAAATTTCGGGACATTGAGCGTTGAAGCCGATAAATTTTTTGGAAGAAGGACATTTCCGTCCCCGTTGCGAAGTCAGCAGACATCCGGCTACAATCGAACTATCCCGACTCAAGTCGCACAAGATTCAAATCATGACCGTGTAGAAAACACGTGGCAAAAAATATTGAATTGTTGCCTTTCACTACCTCACTTGCCTATGTCGAATAATTCTTTTGGCATAAAGAAAAAATAAATTTGGAAAATCCGATCAACACTCGATATTCGTAATTATGTACTGTATCTGTCATGCATTGTGTCGAGTTCGAGTTGACGGATATCTTGGAGCGCAAGACCGTCACCGATGGGACATGCAGAAGGCTCGCCGCGACGACGTGTGGAACACTTGGATAAACGACTCCATTTTCCTTTGCAACCCAAGGCAGCCGAAATGCACGCGGAGCAAGTTGTAGCATGTCATGTGACAGGGATGAGGTGCTATACCCAGTCCTTTCGTCAAAGGCCCGCGACCGGACTTGGGGGGCACTTATACTCGCATGGGTGGATGAGGTCGGACGCCGGTGGGGACGTTGGGAGGTCGTCTTCGATGCGAATGACTTGAACCGACCTCGGACAAGGTGAGCGCGTTGTTGTCGATACATGCTCCCGGCAAGATAACAGACTCGCACGAGATGTAGAGCTTGTGCTTGAGGAGCTCGTGATGTACCTAAAGCAGTCCGGGTGCGCATTCCATGCTTCTTCAATCAGGGTCAAGGTCCCCCTTGGAAACATGAACGCCAAGTACGGCGGGACGTCGGCCAAAATGTACATCTTGAGGGTGTACTGACCATCCTTGCTCGGGATCTTGAAATTCGAGATGGGGTTGACTTGTCACCCAACTGTCCATTGGTGTTGTCTTACGACTCGTTCGTCAGGACTTCCATGGATGGAGCGCCTCGTGACGGACCGTTCTTCGAGTGCATCACCACCATCGCTCGGCAACCTCGAAGTCGGGAACGTACTGTTCAACGGAATGCGGAGCTCGTGGACAAGCATGGCCGACGACCTTGGTGCTGTGCGAGCTCAAGCAAAATGCGGAAGTGGCCACAGCTACCAACATACCAACGGAGCCATGCCCATTGACTAAGCCGATGCTCCAACGACTTGAATCGTAGAAGGAATCTGTGTGAAAAAGCGCACTTTAGCGCCTTCGAATGTTCGTACTTTATCCGTCCTGGTGAGTGATTGCCATTGAAACTTTGATTCTGGTATATATCGAATTAAGTGCGGTTAAAATTTGGTATCGCGACTAGACGCACGAATTGGACTCATCGTGTCGCGAGATTTGTCGTAGGGAGCCGACAAGAGGTCTATCGTTCTTCCAGTAGCGAGGCATGGGACCCACGACGAAAGGTCTTGGAGTTCGTTCTGGCGAAGTGCACTTTTCAAGATAAATCGATAGCTCCACCGACGCTGTATGCGTGGAGGCGCCGTGAAAACCTTCGCAGTGACCTTCCAACGAGTAACAAGGCATTCGCTGACCTTGAATGAATACAAAGCGCTTCAGAGCGAAGTAAGTCCTGCTTTGGGGTTGTCGAATCCACGGCGCCCGATTGAAATATTCGTACCGTAAAACCTATGTCGTTCTACAACCAAACGACACTTAGTCAAAAATTCCTTTCTCGTTCTAGGTATACAATCGACAAGTATTTCAAATTAGCTGAGAGATTCAAGGATTCCGACAAAAGGTTCACGCATCAATAAAATATTGAAGGTTTTCCAACTTGGCAGGAATTTGAGGAATACATTTTGCAATACTACTCTGGTCCACAATGACTGTGCCAAAGTTTAGACTTGGATAAAGTATGGGAACCTTGTCTGGAACATCTTGAAAACTGTATTGGATTCTGAAAACACATAACTGAGTCGGCAAATAGAATTGATTTTTTTAACGACGAAAACTACTCAT